GCACAGAGGGAAACAAGGATGCTTGCGTGATGGCTATGTTTATAGACACTGAGTTGCACTTGCAGTTGGTACTGGAGGGTGAGAGAACCATGCTGTATGTTATGGGCAGGGGCTACGGAGTGTTGCTTTACTGGAATCTGGTTAGACAAGAGGACTGAAGGGTTTATGAACTGAAGAGTAATGAAGTTGTTGTCTCAGTAAGTCACAGAAATGACATCCCAATTCACATCTGGTGCTTCCATTTGTTTCCTTTCCCCATAAATTACAGGTCCAGTGTACCAAGAAATCATTGTTTTCTCCTCCTATACACACACAGCATTACTGCACTGCTAGGTCGCCAATCATAGCAACTGAGGTACACAAAGATTTATAGGAGATTAACTTAAACATTAGAGAAAAAATATAAATAGGTAAGGTTCTTGCCCCAGGGAATCCTCTGAGAGAGCTCTGTATGAATAAAAGTCTGGCCCTGTCCACCAGAGATGCCATATCCTTAGTTTTGTCCTAGCCACAGATACCCTTTGGGTCCCCTTAACATCAGGGAACCCCAATTCTCCTAAAATAGTCTATTATCTGTGTTGTGGCCAACTAACAGGGCAGGTGTTTCAACACCTGCTTGAACCTTGTGTACTCGTACATAGGCCCCATTTTTCTATTCCCCAGTTCCTAAAGCTGCCAGCAGAGTGTGTATGCCAAGGGCCGAATTCTTATCTTGACTTTAAACACCATGTGATTGAGCGTGTCTGCAGCCACTGGGAATCTACACCAGCTACTTTCTACCTCTGCCCGTGGGTAACCCCTACCTCTAGGGCCTCCACTCTGGGGGTGGAGTGTGAGCCTTGCTAATGGAGGCGCCCCCAGGAGATTTTCCAAGACTCACGAGATGTCCAGTCATCTCTAAAAGTTTTCAAAAACCCAGAAAGTCATTTCAAAAAGCCTAACTTGGTGGCCTCACAGAGAGGAAGATCAAACTTTCCACAGATTCACAGCAAATCTGTTACCTAGGTCTCTGTTCCAGCTACAAAGGTACTGGTGCCCAGACTTCAGGAAAGCTCCCTGACCCAGGGGGAAGTCCACCTGGCTATGCAGTGTACCTGCTGCTTGGCAACCAAGGGCAGATAGTCAAGAAGTCTGTTTCCAGGGGGATTTCCCTTCACAATGGAATAGAAAAGGTTTGATCTTTCTGAGAGTTCCCAGAGGAAAACTCATTTGCCTCTGTGGAAAAATCTCAAACCTGGATTTCTCCTTTAGTCATGAGTCTTTTCAAATAAAATTTACTGTAATAGAAGACCTAAATAGTGACAATGTATATTCTAAGATTTAAAAAAAATTTTTTAAATTAAAAAAAATTGGAGGGGGGTAGTGGTCCTGGAGATTGAACCCAGGACCTTTGTACTGAGCTACATTCCCAACCAGTTAAAAAACATTTTTTTAAAATTTAGACACAGGGTCTTACTAAGTTGCTCAGGCTGGGCTTGAACTTGTAATCCTTTTGCCTCAACCTCCCAGAGTACTTGGATTACAGGTGTGCACCACCAGGCCTGGCAAGACTGAGGTTCTAATTCCAGCTTTCAATGTCTATCTGTACTGAAAATGAAGTTGAAGCTTAGCATGCTTAACCCTAGCACTATGGGAGGCTGAGGCAGCAGGATTGCAGATTTGAAGTCAGCCTGAGCAATTTAGTGACATAGAAAGATTCTGCTCCAAAATAAAAGGGAGTAGGGAGTAGGATGCCCTGGAGGTGTGGCTCAGGGCAAAGGCCTGGCTGGGATGAATCCCTAACACACACACACACACACACACACACACACACACACACACACACACTCTCTCTCTCTCTCTCTCTAAATTGAAGTTGACTCCTTCCAGGAAGATATTTTTGTGGAGGTGGCGGCGGGGGGGTGGGGTGGGGGGGTGTGTTTCAGGAATCAAACTCAGGACCTCAAGCTTCCCAGGCAGGTGCTGTGCCACTGAGCTAATTCCCTGGCTCCAGGAAGACTTTTAAGAGTCCACTGTCACAGACTAGTCTTAAGAGGTAATCAAGATTTGTTCAAATGTGTGAAGTAATTCTCACAGCCTGCCAGTGTATAATTTGAAATATTCCATCACCAGGCAATGAATGTCCACAGTCATGTCTACACAGGAAGTAAGGCATGCAGCTATGAAAATGTTTCAGTTTTTCCTTTTCCTTCTATAGCTTTCATATTTTAACAGCTATATATTGAGCGGTTGTGAGTCAAGCCTCATGCCAGGGTAGTAAAAGACACAGAAATGAAAAGTATCTTACCTCTTTCCTATCAATCTTTGGCATAGCCCAGATACACAACTCTTTAAGTTAAACCATGTCATTGCCAATGTTTGACCTATGAAAATAGGCATCTTGGGCTAGGAAGATAGCTCAGTGGTAAAGGGCTTGTCCAGCACTCGGGAGACACTTGGTTCAATTCCCAGCATGGCCAGCAAAGGTGGGTGGCATGTCATGTGGTTCAAACTGACAAAAAGATTAAAATCATATGCAGTGGACACATAAGAGACAAAGCAGATTTGAGCTTCTTAGAAGAGGCTGGGGAGGGACATTGAACTGTGATCAGACAGTGTGTCTCAGAGCAGTGCTGTGCAGTATAACCAGGAACAAACCAGGAGGAAGAAGGGGAAGAGAAGGTTGAAACACAGGTCAATTTCTTGACAGCTTTGAATGCTAAGCAATAGATTTTATTAAGTAGATATGGGGACTCAAAGGAATCTAGGCAGAGTAACAAACCAATGAGATGCTGTTTTTAAAAACGAAATAGAGAGCCAGGAGTGTTGGCTCACGCATGTAATCCCAGCACTCTGGAGGCTGAAGCAGGAAGATTACAGTGAGTTCAAGGCCAGCCTGGGCTATAAAGTCAATTCAAGGACAGCCTGAACTGCATAGTGAGACTGTCAAAAGGACCAAAAAGAAAAAAAAGGCACTGAGAATGTGGATAGATCAATAAAGAGACTGTCCTGTGCCAGCATAACTTGTGAAGAGGTCTAATTTCAGGTAGTGCCAGTGGCAATAAAAAGTAGGCAGGAGAGTACAGCACTGCACAACAGCATTCAGTAATTGGAAGGCAAGTGTGAAGGGCCCCAATTTATTGAGTATTAATCACATGCTAAGGGCTTTGTTAAGCACTTCCTTGCCTTGTCATTTAATACTCACAACAGCTCCCATAATGTGAATTCTGTTATTCAAATTTAACAGATAAAGAGAATGTAGACTTAGGAAGATTGCATAAGATGACTGTTACAAATTGATTTAAATTTAAATCAGGTTTATCTAGAAAGGGTTGCCATTTTAAGATGTTCTTGGCTTCAATTTGGGCTTTTTCAGTGAAAAACAAAGATTCTTGCCCTCATGGAGCTTAAAGTAGGGGTAGAAGAACAGTAAACGATAAAATTATAAGTTATAAAACAGAAAAGGCAGATTAATAGAATTTAGGGGCAAATGGAAGCAGAGTGTGAAGTATTGGAGAATTAAAAGCTACAAGGCTTGGCTCTGAGTACTCAGAAAGTGGTACAAAAGGCAGGAACTGGCTTGAAAAGGAAGTGATGAGATAAGGCTTATTTTATTAATTATTTCAGGTTTTGAAATACCATGTGCCTCAATGTGAAAAATATCCAATAGACAATAGGAGATGGCTCAGCTTCAGAGAAGGGTCAAGCCTGAGACCTACATTTGAGAGACAGCAACATTAAGCAGGCCTTGAGGCTCAAGGTACTAACCGAGTTCATTCTCCTAGCAGCCTTGCAGAAAGCTCTTCAGGACTATTCCCAGAAACGTAAGAATTATACCACACTACCGGCCCCAAAGGTCAGGAGTTGACCCTGAGCAGGGACCTGAAACAGAAGCAAGTGTTACAAAGCAAAGACAACTTGTATCAGTACACTTACTTGGGAATTATAGCTGGAAAGAACCAGAGAGTCCAGGAGCACTGGCTATTTTTTTAAACCATGTTTCAGTTTTGGACTTTCTTTTTCTAGTAAACAAAATAGAAATTTACTTTTTAAAAACATTTTTGAAAAATTGGAATTTCTTTATGAGGTTCTTTATGAGGTTTTTTGTTTGAAAGTGGAAAGTGAGTTAGGAGAAAGTATATTAAAAGATCTAAAAATCTCTACTTGACAGCAGGTATCCAAGTACCACAGACCTTCAGTGGTACACACATCATCTTTAGGAGGAAAAACTAGCCTAACATTATGTTTTGCACTTTATATTCATTAAATAGGAGTGTGTCTAGGGTAGAGTCAAAATAGGCACACTTACTTGAAAAGCCACCTGCTGTCTTTCCAGGGCTGATTCCTAGGAATTACTCTAATTAATAAAACGCTTGCCTGCTCTAAACTCCGTCCCTTCGGATCGCATTCCTTATCATTCAAAGCCGCTTAACCTCAGGATGCCCCAATTATCCATATTTCAACCTGTTTCGCTTTTAAGACAAAGCATTGTCAGGATTACTGTCGAAAGGAAGATCTTGCCAGGCGAGAAGAAAATTCCATTCTTTCTAGGGCTGCTTGAACCCGCTCCCCTCAGTGCCTACATTTACTCGTTGCTGCTACTGAACCTGCAGCCCTGTCCCCCGTCGCAGGAAGGAAAGTGGCGGGTTAGGAAGGACAAGCCAGCGCTCTGGGCAGACAGAGTGGGTGTGCGGTGCCAAAACTAACGAGACGCACTGATTACACGCTCCATTTAGGTCATTCTGATAGGCAAATCACTACTCCATGTCTCCCCAAAAAAAGCTTTTTCGGTTCTGCAGCAGTCAGTTTATTTTCCGCACGAACGCCCTGAATGCCACTACCCATATTTTACCTCGTACCCTCAAACCTCTCAAACTCAAACCCGGCGCAAAAGCCGCACAAAGAGCAGCAGACCTCGCGGTCTCACCCCCTCGGGGGCGGGGCCTCGGGCTTCTGCCTTTGAATGGATGATTGAACTGTAGGTTCTGCCGGCGAGAGCGGAAGAAGTCCCCCGGTGCCCCGGAAGCAGTCGCTGCAACGTCCAGGTGGTGCTTGTATGCCTGGTGCGGGAGCGTAGGGACCCAGAGACTGCTTGAAGTAGTAGTGGGTGCACCAACATGTCCCGTGGTTCCAGCGCTGGGTTTGACCGCCACATTACTATTTTTTCGCCCGAGGGTCGGCTCTACCAAGTAGGTGAGTGAACCAGGTCTGTGGTCCATCCGAATTGCTCTGTCATGGTTCGGCCGGGAGCAAGCAGACGTGGCCCAAGTTTAACCTGGGTCTAATGCAGGGCTAGATCTAGGAAGGAAGAAGAGTCGAGGCTGGGTTGAGCCCGGTGCTGCACTCGCCCCTGTTTGGAAGCAGGCTTCGGGGCCCAAAGGCTACAAGCCCGGCGGTACTCGAGGCGAGCGCCGCACCGGCTGGACACAATAGTGTTGAGGGAGGTACAACTGTGATCCTGCCTCTGACTTCCTGGGTACCCGATCAGTCCCATTCTGTCCTGGGTTAGCCCAGCGCCTTCTCTAGAGACTAAATGGTTCCTTAACCTCCAACTAAAGTGCCTCCTTGCTGCTTTCCTTTGTTTACAGCATGGACATCTTAACTTACGCTTAACTCCACATTACAGCCTCTGTGTCCCGCACTGTGCTGGTTCAAGGGAGCCCAAAGATAAAGACACATTGTCTGCCCTGTAGAAGCCCAGGGCTTACAAGGAGTGACAGATACATAACCAAACATAGAAAAAGCACCAGTTTACAAGTATCTACAGGATCCAAGACGTCTTTGGAAAATTGGGAGAAAGAATGACTCACTTATAAAGCTACTCTTGAAACTCCATTCCCACTCCCCTTTTATTACTGCAGAGTATTCCAATAGGAGAACACTCTTCAATATTACTTCAGTACTTCAATAGCTTTCAAAAACTAGTCCTAAATTGTAAGCTGAGATACAGCTATTTACTGTGGAACAGAGATAACGGCAATAAACCTAAACTAGTTATTCAGTAAAACGCATTTTGTTGAAATGAAATAGTAAAGTTGAGGTTATGGTTATAAGCCAGAGACTGTAGAGCCAGAAGAGCCTGATCGAGTCGTGGTGCACACCGGTAGCCCACTACTTGGGAGACTGAGGCAGAAGGATCACAAATATGAGGCCATCGCACCTGCATAACAAGACCCCATCTGAAAAAACTGGAGGGGAAAAGCCTGATTTTCCATGGTCCATGATAATTTTTTTTTTTTTGTAAGTTTAGTATCTCCATGCCTTTGGATCAGTAATATAATCAATCATCTTCCTTGGAAATGATAAGTAGAGAATTAGTCTATAAGTGAGGTTCTATGCACCGGTAAAACTTAAACATAAGCTTAAAAATAACTTATAATGAAACTGTCCACTGTCTTACCATATACAGGGTATAATATGGCAAGGAACAACATGATGTTAAGTACTTGAGTAACTTTTAATTTCAGTTGCAAAATATAACTGTGTCCTCAAGGATTTTTCATTTGTGGTGTTGTATTCCTGAATTTTGAAGGGTTTTTCTCTATTGGACTACTGCTTTGACTGTTGTGTTTTTTTTGGTTGTTAATTTGTGAACAGAAAAAAGCCCCACTTGACCTATACCTCACTTCTGATTACTGTACTTAGAATCAAGCCGTAGAGCAGTCTTTAATGGTTCCCAGATCTGGTGACAAGTTGAATATAGTATCATTTTAATAGGATTTGAAAAAGAACATAGTTCAAAACAAGTTTAATATTTAGGCAGAATGATTTTAATTTCTGCCTTGTTGAATAACACATTCCCTCCGCTATTCAGGGGATTAATTAGACATTGTTAAGAAAAAGAAAGTGAAAGAATAGTTAAGATGAGCTAGCAGTTTAGTAAAGCTTCAGGCCCTGGAGCTATACCTGGATTCAGATCCTTTCTTTGCTACTCACAAACCCATCTGAGCAAATTAGGTAACCTTTGCCTTAGTTTTTGTTTGCAAAATTGGGCTAATAATTCCTTCTTCTGAGAGGATTAAATGAGGGAATGTACATAGAGTACTTAGTGTTATTAGTTGCCTGTTTAATTCTTTAGCTTTGTGTGTGTGCATGTGTCTCTGTGTGTATTTTAAAGAAGGAAGTTTGTAGACATGGAATGTTTCTGTTTCTTTGGGTATATTCATTCTTAGTTCTCCAGTGAAATATATAAATGCATACATGTACTATCGTAAATGCATCTTTAGAATCCTTCCAAGACAAAGCATCTAAAAATTGTAAAGTGTGACTTACTGACATTGACAACTAAAAATATGGGATCGTGACAAGAGAAGAAAAGACTGGAAAAAGATGTTCATTGTCTTCCATAGTTGTAACTCAAAGGATAAATATCAGAGTTGGGAGTGAAACAGTAATAGAGTTCTATTTTTTTTTTTTTTTTTGTGGTGCCGGGGATTGAACTCACAACCTCGCACTTACCAGGCAGGTGCTTACAGCACTGAGCTAAATCCCCAGCCCAATAATAAAGTTCTTACTTTGCATGTCCAAGGACCCTCAGCACATGCATACATGCACACATACATCCATACATATAGTTACAATGGTAACTGCAATCATAAACATAACATTGACAGTGTTTGTGCCTAAGAAGTAGGAAGATTTTTTTTACATTATACCTTTTGGTGACTATTAAAAGTTTTTTAAAACTTGTACATAAGTTATATGTGTGCATGTGTGTATTAAAAATTATAGAGCACCTAAGCTTGAAATTTCATTTCAGGGATGGGGATGTAGCTTAGGGGTGGAGCACTTGCCCATCAAGTGTGAAGGTCTGGGTTCATTCTCCAGCACTTTGGGAGTAGTTAATTTTAGGGCACCTAGTTTTTATCTTATGTTGTATAACTTAAATATATATAACATTTTTTAAAAAAAATTTCAGGAATTTCAGTTTACCAGTGGGTAAACTAAGGCTATTGTGGACCAAATTAAGCCTGACTGCTTTGAGGCTTCCTACTTGCTGATTCTTTGCAGGGCAAGTCTGGCAAAGGAGAAGAGGATTATTCACTTGAATTTGCCTGTCAGGTGGATGAGTGCACCAATCTCACAGTGTAGTTTAGGCTGATTTGGAACTGACTGTAACCCAGGCTGGACTCCCAACTCATAGCAGTCCTCCTGCCTCAGCCTCTACAGTGGTAGGATTATAGGTGTGTGTCTCTAATCTGGCTGCCTGGTTTCTAAGAGGGGAGCATGATAGGGAGCTCAGAAGAAATGGACTGATAAGAATAGACAGATTAGAAAAAAAAAAAAAAAAAGGAAAAGGGGTTGGGGATTTAGCTCAGTGGCATAAGCACCTGCCTTGCAATCAGGAGGACGTGAGTTTGATCCCCGGTACCAGAAAAAAAAAAAAAAAAAAAGAATAGATTGGAAAGGACAGCTTCTAAATAAAATACAGAGGTAGCATTGTGTGTTGAAACTAGGTTTCCTAGGTTAGAGTCCTGGCACCATACCAATTCTCAGAACTGTTTGTGTTTATAAAATAGAGATGATCCCACCTAGTATATAGCACTTAGAATAGTGCCAGGCATATAGTAAGCCTTCAGATGTTTCTTATTGCCCTCCCTCCCCATATTAGGAATTGAATCCAGAGTCTTTGCACTGAGCTGCATCCCTAGCCCTTTTTATTTTTTATTTTGAAACAAGGTCTTGCAAAGTTACCCAGGCTGTGATTGAACTTGTGATCCTCCTGCCTTAGCCTCCCAGAGTGCTCAGGTTACAGGTATGTGCCACCCATGTACAACTGCACTTAGGTGTTTCTGTAAGCAGTGCTGTCAGAAGAAACAATTGGCTAATGTGAAAGAAGACCAAAGTTTCACAAGTAAGTGAGGAAACTTAATCATATGTCATTTAATAATGGGGTTACAATCAAATGCCCAGTTGATCTCATTGTGCCAACCATCCTACAGTACATTGGCACAAACTAAGATGGCTACCACATCTCTGGGTGAGACAGTTTTAGGGGACTACAGAGTTTATTTGGTCTGTCACACTTACACTGTTCGTTGATGACTAAAATGTTATACAACACGTGACTATGTTTATCATTTGCCTGTGTGTGTGTGTGTGTGTGTGTGTGTGTGTGTGTGCGCGTGCATGCGCGCACGCGATGAAGATTAAACCCAGGGTCCCAATAAATTACCCAGGCTGGCCTTGAATTTATAATCCTACTGCCCTGGTACCCCGAGTCTGGGGGGATTATAGGCCTGGGCCTAGTTCCAGTTGCCTCCTTTGTAATTGAAAAAGTAATTCTTATTTTAAAGCAGTGTTTCACAGTCCAAACTTTTTATACACTTCTTGAATCTGATTTGAAATTAGATGTGTATATGTGTATAAATATATATATTTATAAATACATATATAGTTACAGTGAAACAAATGATGAAATAAAAAATTGGTCTATTTTCAGCACTAAGGATTCTAATGATCCTACTTCTTGGAGGATCACTGTAAAATACTGGATCAGAGTAAAATACTGGGAATCACACTCCTATTGTGTAGAAAAAGACAGAGTAAATAGCTCTGTCTGAAGCAGTAAGATTCAGAAAATCTTAAAATTTTTACAGCATTGAACTCACCCTGGTGAGTTTTTTTAATAACCAAACTTTATAGAATATAAATCAATTCATTCTTACTTTTCCAGCTCATGTTTACTTGATTATATTTGTATCCCAAGCTCATTACAGCATTTTAAACAGAACTATGGCTGGGAAAAGTCCTGAACCTCAGAATCCCATGCAGGTGCTTGGTAGCCTGAGTGTCTGTGAAGGGCCTGCATCTGTGCAGCTGCTGGCCTCATAGCATTGCTGGCACTGCGAGCCATTATTTGGTACTGTGTGCTTATCACCGTAGTATCTTTTACATTTAGCCGGTTTTTTCTTAGTGTTATATACAGTAAGTGAATTCCAGAAAAGGTTGAGAAAGTGCTGGAGAAAACTGCATGAAAAGTGGCAAAGTAAGTAAGAGATTACTGCTGCAAAAACACCTCCATAAATAAGACAGCATTCTGGGTGGTAGCACATGCCTGTAATCCTAACACTCGAGAAGGCTGAGGTAGGAGGATCACAAGTTCAAGACCAGCCTGGGTAATAATTCTATTACCCAGGATAAGCAGTACTGGAAAAGCTTTATAGAGAGCAGGAGTTTATTTTCAGACATGTCTGTAGGAGAAATAGGTATTTGCAGGTATAGACCCAGAGCTAGATGTGAGAGTAATTATTAGGTGACAACTAAATCCCTGATACAGGGTGAAAGCATCCTGGGTTAAGGAGAAGTACTAGAATCCTGGAGAATACCAGTAGTTAAGTTGCTGGCCAAAGAGCTGAAAGCAGTGAAGGAAGCTGAGAAGGGAAGGTGAGAGAAGTAAAAGAGGAATAACTGGAATGATATTTTTCACTAACTAATGATAATCTTAATTTTAAGTAAAGAATACAGCTTCTCAAATGCTTTACAGCCACAGTAACTGTATGCGGAACATTGCCATCAACACAGAACTTTGTACAGGATAGCATTAGTGTAAGCCAAGAAAGAGGACTCCCTTAGTGAATCCTAGCGAATTCGCAGGTATAGTCTGTGTCCAGAAGCACTTTTCATACATAAAATGTTTTTTATTTTTGTATGACAGAAGCTTGTTATTAGGAGCTTCCTTTTGTGGCTTTATCTTTTGGACTATTTAAGCAATAAGCAGGTTTCGTTTAGCCATGACATGGCAGACACAACACAGTACCAGCAAGTGAAAAGGCCAGGTGAGATCCAGCAGGGAGAGAGAGGATCTGGGGGAAAGTGTGAACACTTGCTCAATTCTGTGATTTTTGCTAGGTAGGACAGTGGAGAATGAGGGTTGAGTGTTGCCATAAGCCAAGGAATGCTGGCAACAACAAAATTACTAGAAATTTATTCTCTTCCAATTCTGGAGAAGTCCAAAATCAGTATTACTGGACTGAAATCAAGATGCTGCGTAGGGCTGCTTGCCCTCAGGAGATTCTAGGACTCAGTTCCTGCCCAGAAATTCTGCGTCCAGAGCCTGTATTCCCTGGCTTGTGCCATTGTCATTCTGAACTTCAAGGTTAGTATCTTCAGATATCTCTGCCTTTCTCTTACAAGGATATACTTGATTGCAGGTAGGGCCTGCCAGGATAAGTCCCTTACCGTAAAAGTCTTAATTCAATTATCACTGAAGCCCACCTTTCCTTTCTTTTGCCATCTAAGGTAACCTGGACTCTGGGGATTAGGACATGGATGTCTTTTGGGAGGCCATTTTCCAGTCTACTACAGGGAATATAAAATTGTTGGTTTGTTGTTTTTTAAAAAAACAGAACACAATTTTTTACTCTGTTGTTTGATTCTGGTCTTTATTATTTCTTCTAATTTGTATTTACTTGGTTCTTTTCTAGCTTTTTGGGGGGTACAGAGGATTGAATTCATGACCTTGTGCATGCCAGATAGGCACATATGCTACTGAGCTAAATCCCCCGCCCTCTGGCTCACATTTTTGTAACATCTGAAGTTGGAAATTTAAGTAATTGATTTTAGAATTTTCCTAATTAACGTGATACCACTGGCTTGTACCACTGGCGATACAGGTGGTACAGTCACGCGTGGGATGGTTAAAACATGTACTATCAGTGCTACAAACCGGCAGGCAGTCAGGCATACAAATTATAGCCCTATCATGAGCATTTTAAAGAAATTAAGGCTCCATAAAATTACTACAGAGCCGGGGTTAATGGTGTACAGCTATAATCCCAGCATTTGGGAGGCTGAGGCAAGAGAATCATGAGTTTGAGGGCAATGTAAACAACATTAAAACCCTGCCTCAGAAAACAAAACCAACAATAGAAAAACCACCTTGGGTTGTTGGAAGTGGTGTAGAACTGAAGGTCATGGTTTCTTGCTGGCTGTTGTCAGGTGATCACTTTATCAAGTATGCAAAGGGATCTCTACAGTGAATATGCTAGCATGAACATGTCTGTGAGCTAGAATGAGTCTTACATGTGGCCAGGAAGGCAGCGTTCAATCACCTCTGTCTTGTGCTGTTTCCTGGGGCAGGTTGTAGGTCCCCCCACATTCAAGGGGAGGGAATTACACAAAGGAGGCAGGGAATGAGGGCAGCATCTTAGAATCTGTCTGGGACAGTAGGAAAATTCCAAACACCACTGGAGCTACATCCTACAAATCTCATATATCTCAGTAAAAAAAAATTCCAGGTTTGCCTTTTCAGATTAAGGATTTCAGTACTTAAAAATGTACTGAGACTTATTTTATATCCTAGCATACCATCTGTCTTGGTAAAAGTACCATGTGCACTTGAGAGGAATAGACATTCTTCAGTTGCTGCCAGTAATGTTCTAGAGATAGGTATCAACTAGGTCAAGCTTGGTTGACGGTGTGACTCAGATCTTTTAAGATCCTCCACCCCCTGAAAACAATTGCTGAGTGGCAATCTTAAATCTCCATCTGTGTAGAATTGGCCAATTCTTCATTCAGTTTTGTTTTTCTTTCACGTATTTTGAGGCTCTTCTAAGGTATATGTATGTCTGATTGTTGTGTCTTCTTAATCAATCGATCTTTTTGTGATTACCAGTTGCCTTTATCTCTGTTAATACTCTGACTTGTTGTCTGCTCCCCCACGCCCACCCCTTTTAGGCTTTCACTTACAGAACACTTGTAGCCAGTATTCTTCAGAGACTGTTTTGTTTTTGCCTCATTTCCTCCTCTTTATATAGGACACCAGTTTACACATATATGACACATTTTGATGTTGACTCACAAATGCATTGTTTCAGTCCTATTTTCTCTCTCTCAAGATTGAGTACTTTGATTCACTTTCATTGTCACTTAGCTTTTATCTTCATTCTGCAGTAAAATCCATTTGGCAAATTTCCGTATTTTAGATGTTTTATTTTTCAGTTCTGTAATTTCGGCTTGGTTCTTTTGTACTTTCTGTCCTGAGATTTCCTGTCTTGCCTCATTTCGAGACTGTTCCATCTTGTCATTAAGGATAGTTACAGTAGTTATTTTTAAATCTATCTCTGTTAAAAGAGGTCTGTGTCCTCTCAGGGTTGTACTGTTGAGCATAGATCAATACTTGCTTTTGTTTGGTTTTGACTTTTGATTTTTTGGGCATCACTAATCATAATAACCATTTATTAAGTAGATTCAGAACACTTGTTTGCTCAGATTTTAATACTGCTTTACATGTTTTCTACCTGTGAAAGTTCTTTTTTATGTTATCCCCTAAAAATTTCGAACTGATAACAGATTTATTTCATTTGTCAGACACACGGTTGAAAATTTTGGATGAGGGAATACATCAGAGGCAAATATATACACAGTTATAGGAATTCTTATTTTTGTCTGGTTTGATTTGTTTTCTTTTTGCTGTGTTGAGTAGTTCTAGATCTTATGCTGGACCATTGTGAGTGTTGTGTTGTGAAGTGTCGATTCCGTTGTATTTCTGTTTTTAAAGAGTGTTGACTTTTGTTTTGTTTGAGTAGGCAGTTAATTTGGTTAATTTTAAGACACAAAGTCTGTCTCACTTGGCATCTCAAAATTCAGTGTAGTTCTTTTCTCCTTTGCTCAGGTGCTCTGACTACTTTGCACAGCCGTGGCTATGGATATGGCCAGAGATTTGAGCGATGCTTCTAAGTAGAAGTTAGGGCACTCCACATTGGCACTGTTCTTCCTCATTTTTGAGCAGCCGTGTTATCCCAAATGTTCTGGAGTTCTTCAGGACAGAAAGACTGTGTCAGGCTGTGTGAGCCCTGAAAGTGGGAAATCCACTCCATGTGGCCCCTTTCCCAGGTATTGTCATTACCTGTAGAATCTCACTGTTTGGTGTCTTTAAGTGGTTGCTTTGCTGAGAGTTCGTAGGTGGTTTTGGTTTTTTGAGATGAGGTCTTGCTTTGTCGCCCAGGCTGGTATGAAACTGTGGGTCAAGCAGTCCATCCGTCCCCGTCCCTGTCCCTGTCTCATCTCCAGCCTCTAAAAAGCAGGCTGGGACCACAGGCCAGCACCAGTGTGCATAAACTGGGGCTATAGTTTTTAAATTTGTAGAAAGTTTTTCTGGTAAAAGCTTTATTGATTATATCAGAATTGAGAAGCAGTTTAAAAACGGTATTTTAAAAGTTAACTTGTGATACAGTGGGGTAAAAAAAATTAGGTTTTATAATTAGTCATTTAAATTTAAACTATATTTGTGTTCTTTGAAGGTGGATTTTTTAGAATCCTTTTTGTCCTGTTCTTTTGTTCTCTTTATAGCCATTTTGAAATAGATTTTTAAAATTCTCATTATAGTTTCTTTTTTGTGAACTAAAAACAATACAGTGAATCCTCACCCATTTTATTGACTGGATCTGGCACCATGTGCCTTCTGTCTCTTCCCCAAAGTCAAAATGAACATAATGACAATGAAAGGTAAAGGTTGTCAATTGATTCAGAAAAATCGACACAGCTACAGTAGTATAATTTCAGTAAATTTTTTAAAAAATTAAATATTTGGGCTGGGGATTTAGCTCAGAGGCATAAGCACCTGCCTTGGAAGCAGGAGGTCGTGAGTTCGATCCCTGGTACCGATAAAATAAACAAATAAATAAATATTTACTGTATTTTAGGGGCTGGGGATTTAGCTCAGTGGCATACGCGCCTGCTTTGCAATTGTGTGGTCGTGAATTCGATCCCTGGTACTGATAAAAAAGAAAAAGACAAAAAAAAAATATTTACTGTATTTTTTATCACATCAGATAATGATGGGAATTAAGTGGTTTTTAAAAAAATTATCTTCTGGGGCTGGGGACATAGCTCTTAGCACAGTGCCAGCGTGACAAGCATGAGGTCATGAGTTTGATTTCCAGTACCAAAAATAAATAATCTTTTGTATTTTGTATACTTATACAATGGGAACTATTTTTCCTAATTATAAAATATGTGGGTTTTTAAAATTAAATTTAAGTACTACAGAAGTGAGTCAGTCTTATCTGTAACTTAACTTCCCAAAGGACAGTTGTCACCTAAACTGTCTTTGCAGCCATTTTGATCCCAGTACTTTAACCCATGGGTTGGATTTAGGTCAGTGAGAAGAACACAGGCTGGAGTCTGTTATCAGCAAATTAAATGACCGTATCTTAGAAGTAACGTGAAACTTATAAAAAGCATTATCCAGAAAAATTCACAGAAATCAATGCAAAATAACCTAACAGCAACTAAAACCATATGTGATCAAATTATTGATTAGTAGATAGCTAGCAGAAAAATTTTGGAGCAGCTAAATTTGACCTAAGAAAACTGAATGTGTTAGAAATAACACCCACAAAACAAATGTTAAAGACAGCAAAATAGCCAGTCATGGCACATGCCTATAATTTTAGCACTCAAGAAGCTGAAGCAAGGAAGATCCTGAGTTTGAGGCTGACCTGAGCTATAGCAAGGTTCAGACCACTTGCCTGTGTAGCAAGACTGTCTTTAAAAATAAAAGACAAAAAATATAATTGATAAAGGCTTCTGTTATCAAAATTAATAAACTTTATTGAGAACTTGGCACTCATCTAATACAAATGGAAAGAAATGGAGCTGGTTTAACTGATTTCTTATCACCATTTCTATTACTTTAGTGTTAAGTGTCTTGGGGTGGCATCCCACGTTAGTTTGACCTCATTCTTTTTAATGACTATTTCTTATTCCACTAGGTGAATCTTACAATAAATTATTCCACCTTTTTTAAAAACCTGTTTTCTTTTGCAGAATATGCTTTTAAGGCTATTAACCAGGGCGGCCTTACATCAGTAGCTGTCAGAGGGAAAGATTGTGCAGTAATTGTCACACAGAAGAAAGTACCTGTAAGTAACACTGCCCACGCAGTTACTACGGAATACACGGTGTGAGCTTTTCTTGTGTTTGTTCAAAGACGCCTTTATTCCTGCTTTGACTCTGCTTTCCTGTCAGTCATTCAGGGAGTATTTATTGACATCAACATATGGTTTAGCTGAGTAGTCAGAAGTAACAGTTTAAACTCTGTGGCATAATAATAATAAGCACAAAGGGATTTCTAAGTTTGTTTCTTTGGGACCTTGAGACAAGTTTGGTAAGCCCACCAGAAACATAGAAAAGGAACACAGAGTCTTCCTCCAGACTCCTTCCCCTTCAAAGTTGGTTTTAACTGTAAAATGAATGTAAGACTTTTTATGTCCATTTACTGCCATTATATATGCTAATTGGTATAGTTCTGTAGTAGTGTTCTTTTATAACTGACCAGACACCTGTGAAGTATTTTAATTTTTGATTTGTTCATTAGGATAAATTACTGGATTCCAGTACAGTGACTCACTTATTCAAGATAACTGAAAATATTGGCTGTGTGATGACTGGAATGACAGGTAATCTGCTAGATGTCTATTTAGGTACACAGTGCTTATGTTATTTCCTTCACATAATTTTTGAGTTATGTATTAATTTTAAAGCTGCTTTTAGTGCCGCCTTAACATATGTACAGTGTTCCCAGGTTGGCATCAATATTTTAAGTGTATTGTAGCTTTTAAAAATCACAACTGTAATGGAGTTAGGTCTCTATGCAACCATTGTAGAAACCAAGCTCAGTCCCTTCTTGTAGATGCTTTATTTTAGATACGGTTAGTGGAAGGGACCTAAGTCATTATATCTCACTCACAAATCTGGTATCATGACACTGGTTAAAAGTGAGTGACAAATATTATAAAAATTACTTTGGTTTTCCATTTTCTAAGATCAAGGGAAAATTCAAGCCTAAATACAAAAATCAAACAGTATTATTGTCTCCTACAGGCTTGTTCTTTTGATAGTTCCTAGACAATTATAGAAACTATTTTGAATGTTACTGGTAGTGAAGGGCTCAATATAAAAGGTAATATGGTATTGGGAGCTGCTGCTTAAATTTTTCCTTTCTTATAAACTTGTTGCTTAGCCAAAGGAAAAAGCCATAATGGAGTTCTCTGTTCCTTCACTCATACTGGAGATACAGATAAAGATATAGATCTCTATGGTGGGAAAGTTATCTAGCTTTCAGGTTTGTTCTTATAAGGAGACCAACATTCCTTCATTCATTTGTGTTTATAAGCTGACAGCAGATCCCAGGTACAGAGGGCACGCTATGAGGCAGCTAATTGGAAATACAAGTATGGCTATGAGATTCCTGTGGACATGCTGTGTAAACGAATTGCTGATATTTCTCAAGTTTACACACAGAATGCTGAAATGAGGCCACTTGGTTGTTGTAAGTATACTATGACATCTCCCAAATAATCAATAAGTTGTAATTTTTTTAGAGACATACAAAAATGTGTAAATAACACTTGGATTCTGAACATGTGTTTTGGAAACTACATAAGGTAAGAAAGTCTTTATAATCAGGGCTGAAGGATAAGTCTTACAGCAGTATTTTGGACAGTGTCTTTGTATGTGTGGTACTAGGAATTGAACACAGGGCATTCTCACTAACCTATCTCCCCAATTGCCCTTCCATTCATCTTTTTGAGAAAGGATCTCTCTAATTTGACCCAGACTTGTGACCTTCCTGCCTCAGGCTCCCAGAGTGCTGAGATTACAGGAATGCAACACCATCCCTGGCTCAGACATTATCTTTAAGCTTTGCATGGTACTGTTAGATTTCTATCAAAATGTTTCTATTTGGGATATGTGATTTGAAAGGTTAAGAGTTTCTTTTATTATTAGGCTGTTATAAAGGCTTATTAATCAGTCACTGAGGGGTTTAGAAAACTTTTTAGAATTTTTTTTTGAGAAAAAGTCTCATTAAGTTGCCAAGCTGACTTCAAATTGGTGCTCTCCTACCTCAGCCTTCTGAGTACCTGCCATTGCAGTTGTACATCATCACACCTGGCCAGTCATCAAACTTACCTCAGAATATCATGTGCTTCTCCTTCTGCTCTGTCACTTCTTTTTGTTTTTGACTTTACCACCTAATTTGCCCATTTCTTCTCTCCCTTCATAGTCTTCCTAGTCTCGTCAGTAATCCTTCATCAATTATTCTAAAATCCAATTGTGATTGTTGCTCCCTTGTTTAAAAAAATGATTCCTCATTGGCTGCAGGGTAAATCCCAAACTCTTAAAAATGATATAACTGAGGGGCTGGGGATTTAGCTCAGCGGCATAAGTGTCTGCCTTGCAAGCCTGTAGTCGTGAGTTCGATCCCTGGTACCGGTAAAAATACAAATAAAATAGAATAAAATAAAATGATATAACTGCTCTGTGACAGAAAAAAGCTGCTAACCCCTTGTCAGCCAGGAAGCAGACCACAGAGAAGAACCCGGGAGGTAGGCTAGGGAGCTGCTCCACTCTCAGAGGTCGCCCATCCCAGCCTGTCCCCTAGCATCCATCCAGACATGTCCAGAAGTAAACTTTGCTGAGAGTTTTCAGGCAAGTCAAACTGACAGTCAAGATTAATCATCTCAGTGTCCTTGTGGTCTGTGAAGTCTTGCTCATCTTCCAGTCCCTGAAGTAAAAAAGTGTTTATAGCCAGAGGGGCTAGGGATTTAGATCAGTGGCATAAGCGTCTGCCTTGCAAGCATGCAATCATGAGTTCAATCCCCGGTACCGATTAAAAAAAAAAAAAAAGAAAAAGTGTTTGTAGCCAGGCCTGGCGGTATGTGGGTGTCATCCCAGCAGTCTGCAATGCTGAGGTAAGAGGACTCGTTTACTACAGGCAAAACCATGTGTCCTTCCAATTGTGATTTACATACACATACATGTAATAGTTGAATTAAATAGGTTGGTCTACAATAGAACATTTCAGAGCATTTACTGTGCTGTTGTTTATTATTTGTCTCCAAAAAAGATAACTAAAATGTTTTCTAAATTTATTTTACCAGGTAACATAAAGGATTAGGATTCAGTTAAACACATGTTGGGTATTAAGAAAGATTAGAAGAACTGAAAATTATATTTTAATGTTCAGACTCTTTCTTAAAACTATGGTACATCCTTTTGCAAAGTGGAAATGTATGTGTTAGGTAACTTACCAGGTTTCTTAAAGCAAGCATATCCTAAAATTAATGGTCAAAGTAACAATTGATAACAATGTAACACTGCTTTCTTGGAAGTTTGTTGTCTAAAGCGCTAAGCTATTTACCAAGGGTCTTTCTTTGCAGGTATGATTTTAATTGGTATTGATGAAGAACAAGGCCCCCAAGTGTACAAGTGTGACCCTGCAGGCTACTACTGTGGGTTTAAAGCCACTGCAGCAGGTGTGAAACAGACTGAGTCAACCAGCTTCCTTGAAAAAAAAGTGAAGAAGAAATTCGATTGGACATTTGAACAGACAGTGGAAGTAAGGAAATTTTTTATGCTATATAAAACAGGGCCTGTGCATAACTGGTAGTATTAGACCACCTTTGTAGAAAGCCTTTTCCTGAATTACATCATGAGATCCAAGCTTTTCAGCTTACTGGTAAAACTGATGTCACTGAGCTGACAGGAAAATAAAGCCTGCTATATTTACTTAATTCCGGTCTTCTTTCATAATGGGTTTGAAACAGTATTTAGTAAAGACATGTAATAAAATGACATGATATAAATAAGAATAGAAAACAAGGCCAGGCCCAGAGACTTGTGGGGTTGCTGTGGCTGACAGAAAAACAACCACATACTACATTATCATGGAAACAGGGATGCAAAGTAGAGCTAAATTCTCAGCCAATACTTTTATGTTTGGCTGGCAGCCTATCTCATACTAAGGAAAGATACAAAGTTTTTATCTGGGAGAGAGTATGCCTTGTTTAAATTTAGGTTTTTTAAAGGTTTTTAAAAATTTAATTCATCTCAAATTAAAAGAACCCTGAGATTCTACCTCACTCCAGCAAAAATGGCTATTATCAAGAAATCAACCAATAACAAATGCTGGAGGGGTTGTCTTCTCCACTGCAGACTAGTACAACCACTCTGGAAATCAATGTGGGGATTCCTCAGAAAACTAGGATTGGAGGTCCCATTTGACCCAGGTATTCTCTTTCTGGGTATCTTCCCAAAAAAATTAAAAACATCATACCACAGCGTTATATACACACTCATGTTCATAACAGTACAATTTGTGATAGCTAGATCTTGGAAACAACCTAACTGCCCATTGACTGAGGAATGGATAAGAAAAGATGTGGTACTTTTATACAAAGGAATAGTACTCAGCCATAAAGAAGGACAAACCTGAGACTTTCATAGGTAACTGGATGCAACTTGAGTCCATATTCATAAGGGAAGTAAGTCAGACATGCATGTGTAAACATCATATTGTGCCACTAGTGTGAGAAGCTGAAAGAAATGATATATATATATATAACTAGTATATATAAATCAGAGGTGTAACTATACTACTGATCAGTTATTCTACTCATTTCTCCGAGTTTTTTGAAGAGACAGGTTTGCCCTGGTATTGTTCGGACAATTGAATGCAGATGTCTTGTGCTCTGGGTGAGAGATTTGAAGAGGCAATGCACAATGTATGTGCCATTGTTGTCCCCTGATTGTTGTGTTTTCAAATTTTTATTATTCTTTTTCTCTTTGAAATAAAAGATTTAAAAATAATTTATCATTATGTTAATCACATCAGGTATGAACCCACTTAAAACATTCTTAAATTGCTACTACTGCAAGTTCCTTGTAGGTGCAGACTGTTTTCCTCTCTACTTCACACTAGATTTTAAGCATAGTGCCTTGCAAATAAATGGTGGTCATCAAGGCAGTAAGCTTTTATGTAAATCATCATATTTTGTTGGTTGTACCCCTTTAATTCATGCCTTGACTTAGCAGAAACAAGTGTATTCTAATTGACAGTTGGCACATTTAAGCTAAGCAGTCTGTTAATAGCAGTATCATCGAAACTTGGAGCAGAAATAGATAACTTGTGTGACGTTACATGTTTTTTGAATAAGCTTGAGGTGAGAAAACATTGGAATCTCTGAAAAATAAATATTGATGTTGATACTTTTTTCAGATTGCAATTACATGCCTGTCTACTGTCCTCTCAATTGATTTCAAACCTTCAGAAATAGAAGTTGGAGTAGTTACAGTTGAAAATCCTAAATTCAGGTGAGTTACACTGTCAGCCATGGGTTTAAAGAAATTTGCTAAGCCTAAAAAGATGACCTTTGGGTCCATTTATGGGTGGGGTGCAGGGTGTTGAACTATGATTTTATATATATATATATATATATATATATTTTAGCTTCTAAAAGAGCTGCTTTAAAGCTTACAGAGGGCTGGGGATATGGCTCAGTGATGTATGGCAGCGTACTCAAGGCTGTGGGCTCAAAGCCCAGCAGTAACCAAAAAACCTCACTGGGTTTCTTGGAGACAAGACAGCAGTGTGTCTTCACATTTCACAGTGCTTTTACATAGAACACCGGGAATGACACAAAATTTAGTTAAGAAGTAAAAAAGCTTAAGTGTTTTTGGTTTTCATCTAAGAGAAATTCAATTTCCAAAGTAGTCGTTTTCAGTTTTTCAGGTGGGGTATTGGTTAAGTGGAACTTTAAAAAATACTGTTACACATGAGATAATTATCCAAAAAAATTGTGGAAACCCCAGATTTTGAATACAGCTGATTGAGCTGCAGATGCTTGATGCTTGTGTGTTCTTATTGGGAGGAACGAATTAGGCTTCCTTGATTCAGACACATACTGGTTGCTTAATGTACATCTGTTCATTAAATTCTTCCACCAAACTATGAGATGGTTTGGATGCCAGTACCAGAATGTTCTTGTGATCAGTGAAAAATAGGATTAAATCCAATATGCTGGGAGACACTTAACTATTAACATGTATGTGTGTGTGAATCACAACTAGAAGGACACATGGTTTGGCTTATGGTAAATCAAGCTTAATGAGACCTTGAAGAGTTTTCACATAGTGTGCATGTTTTAACACGTTCCTGCAAGCTTGACTAACCAGTGGTACATGTGTGACTGTCCCATCAGGTGGCTGGTACCCCTGGTGGTGCAAATGGATCTAATCACTTTTATTGGTCTTTTTACTAATAAAAATGAGGAGAACCACCAAGGAACAATAAAAGAAAAATTTACCAGTGAGCTTAATAATAATCTGTGAAATAACGACTGTTTTTGTTTCTGCATCTTACATTAACAAAAGAGCATACATAGGTTAAATGAAAACATTAGATGATTGACTTCAAATAAGACCACTCAGCAGCGAGACATATGAATTACAGCCCCATCATGAGTATGATTGAAGCATTAAAATTTCAACTGGAGGGCTGGGGATTTAGCTCAGCAGCATAAGCGCCTGCCTTGCAAGCGGGCAGTCGTGAGTTCAATCCCCAGTACCGATAAAAAGGAAAAAGACAAAAAAAAAAAAATTTCAACAGGAACAATTTACAAGTCTCTGTAAAGAACTTGGAATTCATTCTCATTTTTTTTCTGAGACCTTTTTATCACCTTTTAAATTTCATTTGCATCTGTTTAAAAAACTGCCTAAGAAGCCAAAGCTCCTGTGTTATCACAAATCATTTGTGAACTCTCACTTTTCTGGAAGTGTGCTCACTACTGCAGGGGTCACAAAAGAGAACAGAGCTTCCTAACACGTTGGCAAGGGAATCACTTTGGCTTCTTAGCCAGTTTCTTAAATAATAGGTGCAAATGAAATATAAATTAAATTACTCAACACTGTCCCAGCTTGCACTACAGATGCCATCATGATGGTTTTTCCTTAAAAAGTCAGCAGGAACAAGTTCCATCAGTAAAGTTGCCAAGCAATTGATTACTTTTAAGACAAATATCATTTAGGAAATATCTTAGGCTCAACATGGAACACCTTCTGACTATTGTAGCATTATTTTATTTTCATGGATTTCTAAATCTGAACAGCATTTTTTAAAATAATTTTTTCCTCAGTGAATTTTCTCTCAGCACATAGAAACGAGTTATAAGGTACGTGAAAGCATTTGGCATTGGAACTGAATAGAACACATGGTATAGCTTAGCTTTATACTATTCAGTTGAAATATTTTCTGTCTCTGCTTACTGTAACTAAAAGGTTTGACCTAATTCTAGATCTGATACTAAACATTTTTGTATATAGATGAAGTTAATGTAATGTCTAGAATTCCTTCAAAATCTATGGAGTAATTGCATTTTTTAGAGTGGTTATTGTCTTTTGTATGTTTGAACTTTCCCATAATAAAATTGCTTAGCCAGGTGTGGTGGCCGTGCCTGTAATCCCAGCTCTTGGGAGGCTGAGGCAGGAGGATTGTTGCTTGTTGGAGACCAGCCTGGGCTACAAAGTGAGCTCAAGACCAGCTTCAACTGCATAGTGAGACCATCTCAAAAAAGACCAAAAAGAAAAAAAAATTGCTTAAAGTGAGCACTTGTTGGCTTTTTATTCTTCTAGAATTCTTACGGAAGCAGAGATTGACGCTCACCTTGTTGCTCTAGCAGAACGAGACTAAACATCATCATTAGTTTACCAAATCCATGAAGCCACTTGCCTGTGTGTTCACTAACAGACCAACATCATGGAGGCCCTTGGATTGAAAGAAGAACCTCTCCCACTCCTCCTGCCATCCATGTGGTTAGGACTATAAATAAAACCAGTGCTTTTGGAAAATAATTGCATCCTGTCATGTTTTCACATGGAAGCTGTGAGGCATTCAGCATTTTCACAGTGTAGGCATTTGTTGACAGAAATGTAAGTTTCCCTGGCTTATGGGATTTAGCTCAAAGACTAAACTAGCACTGAGGCATAACTAGTGGATAGCAAATGAGAGTGGAGGCTTTGAAATCATCTCTGACTATAAGTGGCATTTGGGATAAGGGTTTTATTTTATAGTTCGTCATTTTAGTGGGATGCTGCTGGTCCTAGAAGGCTTTATAGTAAAAAGATTAGCCTGACTGATCTCACATAGGTGTTTTGTTGTTTTCTGGTAGGGAGAGGAATTGAACCTAAAGCCTCACACATGCTAACACACAGTCTACCACTGAGCTCTTCCTTGGTCATCTTCAGGAAAACAGCACTTATAAAAGATGTCTTATGTGTATTTTCTGCTCTCCCTTAAGAGTAGGTTATTGAGCCTATAATCCCAGCATTAAGCTTGAGGCAGGAGGATCTTGCAAGTTAGAGACCAACCTGGGCTACAAGGTGAGTTCAAGGCCAGCCCGAACTGCATAATTATACTCTGAAAAAGACCAAAAAAAAAAAAAGGAAAAAAGAAATATTGAAGGTAGGCAATAAGGAGTTGGTTTAAAGTTTAGAGATAACCCCATTACTATTTTTATGGTGGGGAGAGCCTATATTCAGTGTAAGCTCTATGGATTTTTTTTCCCCCTGATACTGGAGATTGAGCTTTGGGCATTCTAATCACTGAGCTACATGCTCGGCCATTTTAGGTTTTTAGTCGTGGTTTTTTCAGACAGGATTTCCCTATATACTTTAGGCTGGCCTTGAACACACTATAGCTCAGGCTGGCCTTGAACTTTTAGCAGCTCCTGCCTCATCCTCCCATGTTTTGTGGTTGGTTGGGCTTTAAATTAGATTTTATTGGCACATTTTAAGATATACATAATGATTGCATTCATCTTGAAGAGTTTGTACCTGTACATGATATAACTTGTTCCCAGCCCACTCCCCATTTTGCCTAGGTTGGTTGGTTTTGTAAGTAGGAGCTCACTATGTAGTTCTGTCTGGCCTTGAACACACACTGATTCTCCTGCCTCAGTCTCAAGTGCTGGTATTACAGGCATGTGCCACTATACCTTGCCTTTTTAGCATTGAGGCAGGGTCTTCCCAAATTGCCCAGACAGAACTAAAATTTGTCGGTCCTGCCTCGGTTTCCCTCTGCAGAGATTAAAGATGTGTACCAATGTGCCTACCCTCAATTTTTTTTTTTTTTTTCAGACAGGCTTGCTCTGTAGTTCAGGCTAGCCTTGCATCCATTATGTATCCAAGCTGGCCTTAAACTCGTGGTGAATCTTTTGCCTCAACCTCCTGAGGGCTGAGATTCCAGGTGTGTACCACCAATCCTGGACTAAATTTTTTCTTAATGCACAAAATTAAACTTTAAAAGCTCCTAAAATGATCTAGTGACCTGCCATAATTAACTGTTAGAGACAGTTCAAAACTTTTAGAAGTCTAAGGCTAATATATTCATGTCCTCATTTGGCGCTGGGGAAGTCTGATGCTGTTGCCATCACAGCGGGCAGCACGGTAGCTGGCCCTACGTCCAGTACCTGAAGTCAGAGCTGCCCGTTTCTGCAGCCACTAGGCCCTTTCGGGAGTGTGTGATTGCCAGAAGAAAACCACAATTGCATCCCCTTGAGAGCTGAGTTGGGAGGCTGCTGAATGGGTTTAGGGCTGCTGCTCTGGGGAGCTTCTTGGCTCTCCATCAGAGCTGGAGGACCGTGTTTTGAAAAAGTCTCCGGAAGGGCTGCTCCCCTGCACAGGCCAAACACCACCCTTAAACCCCTGACCTCCTTACTTCTAGAATCACAGGTGACAGAAGAGCTGGTAACTTTTTTTTTTCTGTAAGAAAATACCTTTGGGTATTAGAAAACTATAATTTAAAGCCTAAAAGACTAGGTTTAAATAACATTTCCAGTTATTGAAGCATAATTGAAATGGAAATAATAGAAAAGATCCAGTACATAAACATTAAATAATTCTTTAAATAGATGGTAACAAGATTAATGCAAAAATGTTTATAAAAGCTGAGCATGGTGGTACTCGTTTGTAATTCCAGCAACTCAGGAGACTGAGGTAGGATCAAAAGTTTGAGCCTAGACCAACCAATTTAGTTAAATCCTGTCTCTAAGTAAAAAAAAAAACTAGGGATGTAGCTCAGTGTGATGTCCTGGGCTCAATCCCTAGCACCAGTAAAATAAATCTAACTAGAGCCTGGCATGGTGCATACCTGAATCCCAGCCCTTAGGAGGCTGAGAGGCAGGAGAATCACCACAAGTTGGAGGCCAGCCTGGGCAACATACTAACTCTAAGGCCAGCATGGACTACATGTTGAGACTTTGTCTCAAAGAAACAAAAGAAAAAGTACCCATTTTCATAAACTAATAATTAAAAATACAGACCAAGCCAGGCATGATAGTACATACCTGTGATCCCAGCACTGAGCTGCATAGTGAAACCCTGTCTCAAAACACCAAAAACAAAAACCCAAGGATATGTCCAGACATTTATTTATGAATGTGACTCTCTTTGGCTTTCCTTCTCTTGATACCTCATTGTTTCATAAACAGGTTTTTTTTTTTTTTTTTGGGTTTTGTTTACTGTAAAGCTACTTTCGTACAGTTATCTTAAAATGTTTATATAAACCACGTATAGTAGTGCATGCCTATAATCCCAGCGCTCAGGAGGCTAAGGCGGGAGGATCACCTTGAGTTCAAAGCTAACCTAACCTACATATCAAAACTGTCTAAAAACCAAGTAAAAGAAGTATAGTACAGTACAACTGTAAACTATTTGTTCATCCAGGGTGCTGAGTTTAGAGGTATCCCACCACCATGCTTGGCTAAAAATGTGTTATAAGAATTTTAAATGCATTCTGTAGATGTGTTTTATGTTTAAGTAAAAAAGAAGCTTTTTTTTTTTTTTTACATTTTTTTTTCTTTTTTCTTTTTATTGGTACTGGGGATCGAACTCACGACCCCCTCCTTGCAAGGCAGGTGCTTATGCTGCTGAGCTAAATCCCCAACCCAAAGAAGCATTTTTGAAATGTAAAAAATAAAATGAAAAAAAAAAAGAACTTTAAGTACTTGGGGGCACCATGTTAGATTCTTTACGAGTATGTGCTATCAACAAAGTACACATGTAGAGGGAAAATCCCTAGAGCTAATGGGGGTTTAAGAAGGGCTGAAGTATACAAAGTTAATATTCAGAAGTTAAATTGCTTTCCTGTATGTCTGTAATGAGGAATTTAATTTGAAATTAAAAATACAATGCCACTTACGCCAGCACTAAAAATACAAAACACTTATGAATGTATCATATTATAGAAAATCTATATGGAGAAATGACAGTGTGCTGATGAAGGAGAGCATGAGGTCTCAACAGATACTTCTTGTTCATGTAGGACAACTTAATGTTGTTAAGATGTCACTTCACAAAAAATGGCTGGGAAGATAGCTCAGTGCAAAGGCCCTGAGACCAAGTACCAAAAAAAAGGTGTTGTTCCCATCCTGATTTATAGATTCAACCCAATTCCAGTCAAAACCCATCAAGTTCTTTTGTGAATACTGAAAAATCGAAGTTTATATGGGAAGGCAAAAGACTGAAATAATCAATAATGGTATGAAGGAACAAAGTCAGAAACTTAAGCTGCCTGACTTTAAAACTTTTTTAAGGCTACATTATTCAAGATACCATGGAATTAGCAAAAGAGATTACAGATCTCAGAAATGGATCCCACAAACATATAATCAGCCGAATGTACATGCCTACACACCACCAATTTAATGAAAAAAGAATAGCTCATGCTGTCCTCCCCAGTCTCTGAGACAAGATTTTACTACATTGCCCTTGTGAGCTCAAGCAGTCCTCCTGCCTCAGCCTCTGAGTACCTGGGATTACAGGCAACCATCACCACATCTGGTTTAAGAACTGTCTTTTTAACAATGCTACAACCACTGGACATCATCCACATGCAAAACCATAAATCTAGACATAAACCTTACACTTTCCACAAAAATCAACTCAAAGCACCAGGTGAATGATACACACCTGTAATCCCAGTGCTTGGGAGACTGAGGCAGGAGGATCACCAGGAATTTGAGGCCAGCCTGGGTACATAACAAGACCCTGTTTCAAAAAACAAATGAAAAAAAGACAACAAAAAATTAAAACTACCCTGTGAAAGATACTTAAGAGAATGAAAAGATGAATAATAGACAAGGGAAAATATTTGCAAAATGTAAATATGTTAAGGGACTAGTATCCAAAACACAGGGTATTCCTAAAATGAAAGAACAACACAGTAAAAATTTGAAGTACCTAAACTGACACCTCACCAAAGAAACAGATGGCAAATAATTATATGAAAAGATGCTTAATGTCACTGGATTCTATCATTGAAACAATGAGGTATCACCACAGATCTGTTAAAATGGCTTTCTTAAACAAGAGCTCTGAATGCTAACCAGGCTGTAGAGCTGCAGGAGCCGGTGAGGCTGTGACACAGTGTAGCTAGAGATTCAGTCTGTGCCACACGGAAAGCTGCAAGCCGATGCTTCTAGCAGCTCTCGATGTCACTGTGACAAACTGGAAGGAATAAAGACATGCTTCCACAGACGGATGGAAAAACAAACCACAGTCCATCAGCACAATGGAATATTATTTAACACTGAAATGAAATGCGCCATCAAGGCATAAAAAGGCATGGAACAACCTTAACTGTGCAAAACAGAATCTAGCTAACGACACTGAAGTGAAAGTGCAAAGACTAGCAGCTGCCTGGAGTTCAAAGATGCAGGGCCAATCAGAGGGAGGAGCAAACCCAGCAGCAAGGTAGCTAAAGTGTCGTGTGATGCTGTGATGGTGGGCACATGGCAGCATGCATGATAACACTTCTAGAAAGGACCACACAAACATGAACCTTAGTACAAATACAGACTTTATCTAATAGGCATTGGGGGCTGGGTGGGTGGCCCTGCCAACTACACTAAACCCTGGGTTCAACCCCTGGCACCCGCCACCATAAAAAAAATTTGGTATTAGTTCATGAATTCTAATAAATGTAGTCCAGCAACACAAGGTATTTATAATAGAGCAACCATTATGCAGGAAGGTATTTATATGGGGACTCTCAGTACAATCCAGTTTTGCCATAAATCTAAAACTTTTTTTGTATTAATTTGGAAAATGTAAGAGGCAAAAATTCTCAAGAGATAATCCAAAATGTTCCTAATGGTTATGAATAATTTTCTTACTTCTTCTATGTTAATGTACTTTCCACGAAGTTTTCAGTGGTGTTATTACTTATAGAATCAGACTTTAATTAAATCCTGGACTTTAAAAATTCCAGCCTAGTGTGGTGGCTACCCGGTAACCCCAGCGCTCTGGAGGCTGAGGCTGAACAATCGGCAGCCAATTCGAGACCAGCCTGGGGGCTACGTAGTGAGTTCAAGGTCGGCCTGGACTGTATAGGGACCTCTTGCCTTCAAAAATTTAAAAAATGAAATAAAAATCCTATACTGAAAAAGCACAGTGGCTTTTTTAAAAAACTGATTAAAAGTTTCTATCCTTTTATGGACAAGTAAGACCCAAATTTCCCACTAAAATACCGAAAGAGAAGTAAGGATAGTCTTACTCATTTTTAAAAGTGTTTTCAAAAAAAAAAAAAAAAAGTGTTTTCTACCTCCACAAGAAACACTGCTTGGAAAGTAGCGTTGCTCTACAGGTCACCAGCCTGTCAGGATGTTCCTTCAAATCCTGCGTGGGTCACCGGCTCCCGGTGAGTTCGTGCCTGGGGCAAGGGAGGAGCCAAGCGGGCCCACACTCTGCGCATGCGCGAAGCGTATTCGCCTTTCCCGGGGCTTTCCTCGCTGCACACGACGCATGCGCCACCAGGGACTCCAGCTGCCTGCAGGGTGTCCTGGAATCTCTGCTCACTGTACTCACCTGTGATACAAACGACAATATGCAGGTTAAGACGACCTCGCCTCCTACCCTAGGAACCTTGCCTTATCTCTAGAGGAAAGGTAACATCACTGTCACGTGCCTGGTTCTGACTCAAGAAAGAGTCCCCTGAGTAACAAAAAGCATTAATTGCCCATTGACCCAACGCTAAGAAAAAAAAAAAAAAATTACTGAGGTCAGTGTGGTTTTAAAATTCTCTGTAATACTAGGTTTCTAGGCCCACATCTCATGAGGGTACGCAGAGATTTTGAAACTAAAATGCGCCAAATTTTAGTGGTTCTTCCCCAGAGTCACATCAGAAGCACCTGGGAAATGTTCACAGTGTGCAACAGGGGTCCAGCCCGGCCGAGGCACTGCTCCGGCCCGCAGGCTTCAGACCACTCACTCCTGGTCAGGTCTGAGGTCGGTTCCTGGGAGCGAGCAGTGTCCCGCTCACACGTGAGCTCATCCCATCTCTGCTGCTGCTCTTTGGTTGCAGGCAGCTTGCCAGTTTGCTCAGGAACAGATCGGGCTTCTGGAAAGTGACTGCACTGCGTTCTTGTCCCGTGTATCTTTGATGTTCTTAACCCTGACTCCTACAGTCAGTGGAAGGAATAAAACATGGACATGTGTCTGACAATCATTAACCCTCCTGGGATCCCCGCTGCGCAGCACCTTCTTGCCAGGGATCCCACCACACCTTTGTACAACCCCTCTCGGTGTCCCAGGCCCGAAGGACACGAAGGGTTGCAGGGACGCGTGCCTTAAGCGCTGGTGAAGCTATGCGTTCCATTTTGAGTAGGCACTGCCAGAAAGCTGTTTAGATTGGGGGCGTCCTTCACAAGAAACCAGCAGCTGGTCTCGGCGCAAGGGATGACCTGCAAACCTCAGGTGACCCAGTCTCGAACGCCACACTGGGAGCTGGAATAAGGGTAAAAAGGAGAAACAGAAGCAGAACAGGAAAGATCTGGTTTCCCTGAGGAGAGTAGGGGTGAACCAGGAAGAGGCACTGCTAACAGCCCCACAGTGCTCTGGCTGGCTGGGGTTTTCCAGGGACAGAGGCCCTGAGAGGTGCTACCATGACACCCCCATATAGCTGCTCAGTAAGTACCACAGTTCCCTGAAAATAAGACGAGAATTTATGTTAATTTTGCTTTAAAGTACTCAGTAGGGCTTATGATCAGGGGATGTCTTATTTTTCTTATGCACAGCAATCTACATTGATTCATGTAAAACAACCCACATTTACTCACTTACTCATGTACAAAAGTCTACCTTTACTCAAATACAGCCATGTCATCATTTTCTGAGCATCGTCCTAACTCTCCAAACCCCAATTCTGGCGTGAAGCTCTTGCGATTCCATTTTCTGTGGGATAATTACTGTCATGTAAAGCAATAAAAAGCAGAGAAAGCAATAGAGCTCTTGTCTGCACAACCTGCTCAAAGTGCACTAGCAACACAGCTGTCAGTGATTTTATTCCGCGAATTCTTCAGCAAGTCATGACCTCTTGCAGGCCTAACTTCACAAAGTTCCATTAAATCAAGTGTTAACTGAAGACTTACGAGACAAGAATGGCACCCAAAAAGATGATAGTTCCAAATGATGATCCAGCCAGGCGTAGTGGTACATACCTGTAATCTCAGTGCTTTGGCGCCTGAGGCAGGGCAAGTTTGAGGCCCCCCTGACACACATAGTAAGTTCAGTGTCAGTCTGCTCTACAAAGTGAGACCCTGTGTCAAAAAACAAACAAAAGAACTGTAGTCGACACAAAAGCAACAAAAAAGTTGCAGGCCCCCAAATTCAGAAAGCCTGTCTTTATTTCACATAAGTGCATTAAGTATGTCTGCTGCAGCGTGAGAGGTATTGAATTATGAAGATTCACATTACATACAATCTTGTCCACTTGTATCATATGCGTGTGTTGTATGTGCCTTGTGTCTATGCTGCAAGTGGTCATTCGGCAGTAACTCTCAAGTTCACCTGTTTACATAAGTGTTTACTTCTCATCCAAAGATGCCTGCTTGGGTGATTATAATTTATATTATTGTTCAAGAATGTCGATAACATGATATGTTTTAATTGTGTATTAATATTATTTTATAATTCAATATATCTCATGGACATACTAAATGCTGATTTAGGGGGTAGGGCTTATATTATGAGCACTCCAAAAAACTCATGATAGGGCTTACTTTCTGGTTACAGTAACTACTGGTTCATTGGTAGTAATAGTATAGTAGTTGCCATCAGTGCCCTGTTTGCCTGGTACTGCATAACTGGGTTCTCAATGCTTAAGCAGCTTCTGGGGGCTGGGCTGGCACTTGTTTCTGAGAAAGAAAGAAGGAAAGAAAGAAAAAGAAGGGACTGGGGATATAACTCACTGTGAAGGCCCTGGGCTCAGTTCCCAGTACTGAAGAAAAAAAAAAAAAAAAAAAGAGAAGAATGTTGTTACCCCACCTTTGTCAACTTATCAACTTAGGAAACATTTTCATAATACTGTGTTTACCAGCGCATATTTATGAGCCCTTCCTCCAAGTCAGGCCCCCTTCTTTGGGGCACAGAATGATGAACGAGGCAACGTGGTTGAGTCTCTCAAGGGACAGAGACTTGGAGCCCTGTGTCTCTGGCAGCACATCTCCACCAAGCTGGCTGTCACCAAGATGTGTGCACCAGCATCACATCCTGCCTGCATCCAGCAGAGCGGAAGTTAGGCCCTTTGCAGAAGCAGATGGGGCTCGATGATGTCTTGTGCAAAACTGGCCTCCAGGCTCCCTTCCTTCTGCGAGGGCCCCCCAGGGACAAGGACACAGCTCATGACTAATGAGAGGATGTGTCTAGCAACTCGCATTTGTACTATGAAAAGCACACTCTTCCTGCCGCAAACTGCGTGGAGATCCCTTCTGGGGGTTTTTCTTCTTTCTTTTTCTTTAGTCTTTTGTGTGAAGTGTATGTAACAAAAGGCCACTGGAAAACAAGGGGTTATGCAGCTTCTAAAGCAAGCAGAACTGTAAGTGCCTGCAGCTGGTTTCTCAGTTCAGAAAAACCCCAGCTCCAGGCCTCCTTCCACAAAATGGGGCAGCTGGTAGCTTTAGAAGGGAGTGACTCTCCAGGGAAGGCTTAGACAGCCATGTGAAGCTCTGTCAGATGCTTGCACGCCAGGTAGGATAGTGAGAAGGTCCTGCTATAGAGCCCAGAGTCAGAAGCTCCCAAGGCTGCATGAAAACTGCAGCTCCAGGGAGACGCGGCTGACAGAAGCACTGACCAGATAGAGAGACACCTGGCCTCCTCAGCCTTCCAACTCCTGGTTCCAGTCCCCAGCAGTCAGATGGCCAGACTGAATTCTCATTCACAGCTGAGTTTAGCCTCACTTTTTTCTTCTGTCAAATGGGTTGTAACTGTAGGATCTGTTGCCATGAGACTTAAGTGATGAAACGCATTTAAAGTGCAGGATTTTGCAGCAGGGTAGGGCATGGCCCTTCCAGAAGTGGCTTCAAGTTTCCACAACATTCTGACCTTCTGAAATGTGATTTGCTGGGAGCAAAGCAGTGTCAGCAAGGGAGAAGCCAGCCGGAAAGATCTCCCCGTAGCCAGGGCTGAGCAGATGTGGGCCTGCGTAGCCTCCCCAAGCCTTGGGGTTCAGCCAGCAGCCAACGGCTCACTTTTTTCTGGCAAACAGAACCTTTCTTGGCTCTCTTGTCACTCACAACACACAGGGCTGTGACTTTACCCAAAGGGTGTCCCTGGCGTTAGTGCAAATTCTGTTCTACAGGGAGGCACACAGAAGATGTTTCTGAGCCCCTTGGGAAACCAGGAGCTGTGAGGGGTGACCTGGGCTCAGGTTGTCTCCCACTCCTCTCCTCCGGGGCCTGCAGAATCCTCAGGAGGCCCTGTGGTCTGGTTCAGTGGGACGCCAGCACAAAGCTATGAGACCTCCCTCTGTGCTGCACTCCAAGCCTGCACTCCCAGGGGCTCTTCCTCCTGGAATGGCCAGGAAGGCATATGAGTCAGGACCAGCCGGGGAAGGAGGAGCCCAGAGAGCCTAGGACAGCTGAGGGGTGGATACTGGAAATGAAACTTCCCCTGTGCTGCCAAGCTCCGCTCAGTGGAGAAGTGCACCAGCCCCTGCACGAAGTCCTGTGCTCCTCTGACTCCTCTCTTATTGAGAGAGATGGGCCTCTGGAAGCCTACTTGTATGGGATTTTGTAACCTCCCAGTGGCTTTTGTCTTCTATAGAAAACTCCAGGCCAGCTAACAAACCAGCTCGCTTATCAAGGTTATAGGAGCCTGGAGGCTTGTCAGCCTTGGGAAGGGGAAATTCTATCTTGCGTGGCTTCCTTCCTTCCTCCTCCTGGCTAGGCCCCACCAGGGTGGGGCGGCCTTCCTGGACCTGGCACCTCTGCTGGGCCCCCAGCCAAGTGTCCAGAGGACACTGCTTCCACACCTAGGTCCATCTTATCTTTCTGGGACCATGAGTTCCTGCACTGGAGAATGACTAAACCAAAATTGCCAGTGTTTCCAGTGCTTCAAAAACAAACTGCTCCAGCTGGTTTCTCCAGTCTGTCCTGGGAGAAACCGAGGAAGCTCGCTGCTCAGGAGCATTTCTGTCTTGCTCTGCGCAACACTGAAGGTGTCCTCCTGCTGGTGAGGCCCATAAACTCCATGTGAACCTCCCTGCTCACTAGGCACCCCAAGCCCCAGGATAGTTAAGTGTCGTACGATCTGGCTTGGGCGAATGGATGAACGTGGGGTGTCTACATCTGCTCTGTACTAGTGACTTAAATTCAAAACCTTGACATGTTTGGGGAATGCTGCTCAATTTCTTTAAACCAATAAGATCTGATTTTTTCAGATTCTTGGCTTAGTTTGGAGGGTCGTTGGACCTTCTTTTTGTACAGAAAACAAATATGTCTTCTCTCATTTCCCATTCGCTCCCCATCTCTGTCCCCGTGAACCACAGAGCCCACCATCAGACCAGCTCCGTAGATGCAAGGATGGTCCAAGTTTGGGTTTCCATTCCTCTCCATAATGCTGTTCAGTTGCTCTTTTCCCCAGCCCCTGACCTGCTGCTGACCCTGCAGCAAGGTGGGAAGGGACTCCCACACAGACAGGGCCAGAAAGGGCCCGGTGCCAGGGGCCCCCACTCCAGGCACAGCCTCAGAGGCAGGAGTGCTGTGGGAATTTTCCATCTTACTCTGCAGCCTGCTTGGCAGCTTCTCAGGTTGTCTTGTTGCTGACATCGGCCTACATTGGGCAAGCTTCCCTGCAGGTCAGAGAGTACAGCACAGGCAGTGCCTGGGCCTGCTCAGGGCTCTGGCTTCCTCTCAGCAGCCTGGAAGGGTGGAGGCTATCTAGGCCTCATATCCCTTAGCCCAGGGCCTCAGGCTCAGCGGCCTCAGCCTCGGCTTCTGCCCAGGCCTGTTTCCTCCTGGCTTCCTGCTCTTCTGTTTCCTTTGGCTTTCCCTCTGGGTGGCTCCCAGCTCTTCCAAAATTCCCCTCCAGATTTGCTTGTTGTCACAGAATAATGCAAAACTATTTCTGGGGCTGCCCAGACTCTCTGCCAGAGACCTGAAGAAGGAAAATGAGGCAGATCTGTGGCCCTGTGTGGCCCTCAGCCTTCCTGATGGGACAATATTATGCTGCACCCACATCAGTGCTGTCCCTGGGACAAACAAGAGGACTTGGCATGTGCATCAGGGAACTCAGCTCAACCCATAGACAGGCCAGACAAAACCCTTAGGTGCCCATTCTATCTAATATTTAAAGTGCTTTGTACACATTAAAATTTACATTGTGCATTATTTGTTTATCTCTGCTTACCTAAGCTAAATTCCTTGACCTGCAAGGAGCGAAGGGAAGACTAATGAACAAATACTTCAAAGCCTCATGATCCTGGGTGGAGACAACTTCAGGGACACACAGAAGACAGCGAATCCTGCTGTGTGGCTGTATGCAGGCTGTGCCCTCGTGTGGGCCTCCTGGTCACAGCAGCCTGAGCTCCTTATCAAGGAGCTTGTGACCACCTGGAAATGGGCCAGTTGCAGAGTCCTTAGCACTTCCCAGGAGGTGGCAAGTGTCCTCCAGGTGGCCCCAGGAGAGGCCTCCTCAGAGCAGAAGGGGTGGAAATGGGCAAACGGGAGCAAGGCACGGTGGATGGATGTCAAAACCCTCCCTGGCATCTGACCGCCATCCTCCTCTCGGCTTTCTCCTCCTCATGCTGTGGTCCCTAGGGTCTGATGGCAATTCTGCTCCTCCTGTCTTGTTTCTGCTGCCTCACATCTTAGGGACAAGACCACTCAGGAGAGGAATGGAGCTCTTCACTAAGGAGAGGTGGGAGGAACCGTGCTGTGTACTGCATACCTGGCCCTGAGGTAGGTGCTGAAAACAAACACTGCCTCCAGGACTCTCTCAATAGCAAACCTATGAGATGGCTGTTTTCCTGCCTGACAGATGGGATTGGGAGGCTCAGAAAGATTAGTGACTGGCCCACGGTCACCCAGATGGTGTGGTGATTCAAAACCAGGTCTGCTTGAAGCCCAGCAATCTTGAGTCCTGCCTTGTCACACAGGCCATCTTGTGTAACACGAGGCCCTCACTTCAGGAGATCTAGCACAGTTAATCCACATTCTTATCCTGCTCCAAACTCCAAGTTTTGGATCTGCTTTTTACCCTTAAAAAGGAGGTGCCCAAGGGCTGCTTTGAGGCCTTGAAGAGACCTGGGCCTCTGCACATAGCTCAGCTCTCTGCATTGGCCTGGGACTGCTCCATGGGGGCAGGCAAGAGCAGATGATAACAAAGGGGATGAAGCTCTCTGGTGCTCAACTCCAAATTAGGATGTAGACCAAAGGAGGCACGTTGCCTAATAAGCAAGCAAAGTAACTTTGTCTTATGACTTGAAAGCAGAATTTGCCTCCTGCTGGATGGCATCATGCAACTAAATTTATTCATTGTGGTTGGCCATGTGCGTCTCACCAGTGCGTGTAGGGCTCTGGGGCTGGGGCCATGGGCCTGGCTCCTACTCAGGCAGGCTGGTCCCTTCTGCCCCCTTCACATGCCAACTGTTAAGGGGCAAAAGGCCACAAACCAGAACTGGACTGGGGCTGGGGAAGAGAGAGAATCATCAGGGTAAGATCAGTGCCTCCATTTGGTATAGTTCGGCAAGTTCTAAGCAGGCCTTGTTCTGGCCAGCCTCAGACAGGACCTTGGGGATGGCTCCACAGACAGGCCTCTCTACCCCATCCCCGGTGACAGCAGGCAGCAGGCTGCAGGGACTGAGGATGTTTTTGTTTTGTTTATGTTTGTGCTGTGCTGGCAGTGGAACCAAGGGCCTCATATGCTAAGCAGGCATCTATCCTTGTGCTATACAAGGTCCCCAGCTCAGAATTTTAATTGAGGCCCACAAACTTGTGCAATGAACTCATCTCCTCCCAAACAAGCTCTGTGTGCCTCTGCCCCACTGGCCTCTGACCTGGAGAGGGGTGCTGGCTGAGGCAACATGCTTAGCCTACCTAGTAATACATTTTTCTAGGGCTTCTGCATCCTATTCTGACCTCCTCACACCAGAGTACTCACCCTTCCGCTGTTTCTGTGGGAGTGGACAGAGAACCTCTAGCTTCTGAGCAGCTGCAAGTGCTTTCTGTTGCCTGGTGGTGTTAAGCCTTTTGGAATGTTCTTTTTTGTCCACTGACTGCATCACCATAAGCTGTAGGTGCTAAGAGGCCACAGTCTTTAACTCTGTGTACGCAAAATACATTTCAACCTTTGATTCCCAGATCCTTGGCTAACACAAAGGTTTGTTTACTTTTAAGTTGTTTTTCTTGTGCCAAAAAAGGGGGAGTCCCAGGCCTTTCATGGGAGCACAAATGGGGCAAGCAGGGAGGACAAGGGGAAGACCCCTACTGAGGCTTTGTGGCAGAGTAGGGTGAGGGTATTATAGACAGCAAAATTAGATAGAAATGTAGTAAGCAGTTGGTCAGGGCTGGGCCCTTGAGGGAGTCAATGCAAAATATGAGAATGCATCAGAACTGTGGCTGGAGGCACATCCGAAGATTAAAGTCACAATGACTAATTTTATATACTTCCCTAATCGATCAGTAGAGGCTTGCGATTATTGGTATCACCCTTTTGAGATTTCCCATTATCTCATTAGGGACGGGCCATCCTCTCCCACCTAAGACTAAAACTGTAAGAGTAAAGACAAGCCTAAGACTAGATTATTGACCAAGATTAACGATGTCTCCTAGGTATTCTTGCTACTACTGGATCAATATTACCTAAACTATTAATCTGCAGTCTTACTGATTGATCATAATTTTGTCCCACATTGTACCCGCCTCATGCTTTTGCTCTAGAAAATTTCCATTGAGAGCTGGGCTCACTGGCAACCATTTGGGACCCTTCCCATCTCTCAGGAGCTGTCTTATCCCCCACTTCTGTCCCCATTCCTTTTCCCACTCTTAACTCCCATTATTTCTTACAGTTCGTTCTTTGACTTTGTGGGATACGAACTCAGTGTATTCAACAGCTAGCATTTCCTCTAAATCAAGGGGACTCAAGCAGAGGAAAGGTTTCCTGAGCTACCAGAGCCCACAGGGGACCCCTAGGTTCCAAACTCTCTGGTGGCTCTGGGTCAGGCAGTTCAACATCCAAGACTGTGGACCTACCCACCTGCTGTCTCCATCAGAACCACATGGGCAGCTCAGCTGCACATTCCTGGGTCGGGTCCTAGCTATTCTGTTCTCAGAGAGGAGGTCAGAGCATCTTGCTGTTAACAGCTCCCACCTACGCAGTTCTCTCATGGCCCTGCACTCAGGCCACAGCTAGCTCCATATGGAGCACCGACCTCCTCTTTTTTAGACAGCTGCTTCACTCCTAGGCTATGCTAATGGTCAGAAATGCAGCCCCAGCGTCTTGTGCAGATGAAGGAGCCTGCCAGGCATGAGGCCAGGCTGCCTCCTCCCAGCTCAGGCTCCAAGGCCTTGCTCCTTGTGATCCCGGCTGGGCTCTGCCCTGCAGGACTCTGGCCTGTTGACACTTTGGGAAAACCCCAAGGGAGGTACAGAAGTGTGGCAGAGGTGGCAGGGAGGGGAAGGAGTCACATGGGCCGGCATCCTCCACTTAGGTGCTGTCTGGCCTCCGGCTCTGGGAGAGGCCCCAAGCCACCCCTCAGCCTGCCCTTAGACCTCCGATGCAGCCCATTCCAGCACACCCCTTCCTCTGCTGCACCTCTGTGCCAGCTAGGCCTCCCCCCACTAACCTGCAAATTTGGATTCATCTTTCAAAACCAGTTTCAACCTTTTTTCCATGACTCCTTCCTGCCTCCCTGAGGTAGAACTGACCCCTTCCCCCACCTCTTTTCCTCCCACAGTGCCTGGAGCTGGCATTTCCCTCAAGTCTGTCTATGTGGTGGACACGTCCCTCATGCTTGCCAGCGGTCACATCTCTCACATTTCTCACGTCTCGGCCTCCCAGCAGCCCCCAGGGCCCCCAGGCTCTGCCCTGTGGCAACACAGCTTGGAGTAGGTGTAGGCAGGGAAGTTGGCTCTTGTTTTAACTCTGTGGTCTGAGGTAGTTCAAGGTTTGTTTTTCCTTTGACGTAGACTGGGGCGGGTTTTCACCCTCTTATTTCAGAAGTCAGTCAGTACCTTAGTGCTTAAAGTAGGCCTCTGACTCTCTGCTCCAGCATATCAGTTCCTTCCTGATGCTATTATTGTTTGACAGTATCTCTTTTGTTTGCTTTCAGGTTTCTTTGTTTTTGTTTTATTTTGAGACAGGGTCTTGCTACAGTTCAGGCTGACCTCGAACTCACTATATAGCCAGGCTGGCCTCCACCCCACCTGGCTCATTTGTTTGCTTTCTTGTCCGTTGTTCTGTCTTGCCACCAGGACACAAGCTCAAGAGAGTGAGAATGTGATACATTTGCTTCCTGACTGGGTCTCCAGAGGCAGCAGGGAAGTGGGACCCAGGAGGGCCCATGCTGTTTGCTGTGAACAGGGTTCGGAGATTCATTCTTGCAGGTCCAAAGTCCTTGTGAGTTATGCAAGGGCAGGTAGGAAATTAAATAGTTGGTCCTGCCCCCAAATATTCTCTTGATAAATAATTTCCCCTTCATAGTCTGTATTTTTTAGATCAAGTGCACATGTCACACTGGTTAAGGCCTCAGTTTCCGCAGGCTCACACTGCATTCCAGTTATACACGACTCAAGCCCATGAGATGCAGGCCTGTTGCTTCCATGAGGTGACCCCGCCACAGGGACAGAGGTTAGCACAGGAGCAGGGAAGGGTGTGCAGCTCCTGGCCTTTCTTAGCTGCTCACCTGCCTGGCTGAGGATTCAGCCCAGGATCCTGATGTGATGGTGCCTATACCCAGCGTGCAGTGCTGGTCCTGGAGACCCAATCCTCTGGCCAAGGGCGCCCCAACAGCTGTCCCAGTGACAGCTGCATGTGTGGCGAGTCGTCCTCCCTGACACAGCCTCCCTGCCAGGCACTCAATGATGCTCCGCACAGGACCGTGGTGTGAGCAAGGCAGCCGATGGTCCAGTCAGATGCAGCCCGGCACAGGCCGGGCTCACCCTACGCATGCCCCGGCCCACACCTGCATGGCTGTGCACAGCAGCTCTGACCCTGGGAAAGTCCCTAAGATTTGTTGGGAAAAGAAAGGCAGATGCAGTACATTTCTCCACCAGAGCATTCTGTCCCTTTCTGGCTCTGTCACAATCCAGCTGGATGAACTAGGGCCAATCACTCCCCTTGGAAAAACCCTGGATCCTGGAGGAAGCCGGACTTGCCCCGCCTCCTGGGATTCTAGAGTTCTTGGTGGGACTCGGCCCTGGGTTGGGCCTGGCTCCCCTTCAAGATCTGGCTCCTCCCACACCTCCACCGCCGCTGCGGGCCACCGCGCGGGAGGAGGAGGCAGGGCGCTGGGAAACTCCCTCAGCCTGGCTGCCAGCTGAGTCTAATTAGCCTGCTGCGCTCCCACAGAGGCGGCCTTTGCTGGCCAAGGCCCCGCCTACCGCACTTGTTGGCTGCTCCTCAGGACAGTCAACCCTCCAACCTTTCTTCACTGCGGAAAAGCAAGAGCTGACAACAGAAGGAGAATAGGGAAACAGAGCCAGAAAAGGAGAGCCCTGAGCTTGGAGGAGGCTCGGGAAGTCAGCGGGGCTTTGGGGCTGTCTCCCCCGTGGCACCCCCTCAACTCAGCCACTCGCTCCCAGTTTTCCAGCCCGGGTGGCCAGCCAGGTGGAAGGTGCAGCTCTGCGCATCTCCACCGGCAGCTGCCCTTGCTGGCTGGGGCTTTCTGTAACAGAAACCTTTGGGTTGTTGGGGGCTGGCCACAGAGCCCCAGCTGTCCCACAGGGCATGTTTCAAGTGGTTTTGCTTTTGAGGAACCCACTGCCCAGTACTGTAAGGGCCTCCACTGACCCATACATGCTCAAGGGCTCCACTGGCCGCAGCCCCATCCCACAACACACCCCCAGCTGTTACCCACCATTGCCGGTCCTGCCTGGACTTCTGTGGCCAAGGAGAGCTGGGCAGCTGCTGGGTAGGGCCTTTCCTTTGTCCCTGGAGTGATTTCAGGCTGTGTTGACATCTGGAGGGCAGACCAGCAAGCCCGAGACCCCGATACCTGACCTGCAAAAGAATCTCAGCACACACTGCTGCCTCGAGAGGACGGTGGAGTATCTGAAATCCAGAAAGAAAGGGTTTGGAGCTTCCTCAAAATTTCCCTATCGCCAAAAGAACTAGTTAGTCCCCACTCAGCCGGGACAGCCACCAGATCCTACCAGCTCTCTTTTGGTCACCTCTTAGTCTTCCTTCTCTGCTTCGCCCCGCTCAAAGATACCGCCACTGTCACCATGAGCCCCCCTTACAGTGACCCTGATGCTGGTCTCCGTTCCTCACCCCTTGGTGACATAAACCTTCCTTAAAAAGCCCAGGCTTGTCACCTCATTCTCTTGTCCAGTGGATCTTGTACCACTCAGTGGGTAAGACTGCATCCCCTCAGCAACCCGCTTCCCAATCTTGTCACCACGTCCTCTCCATATTGGCCAATTTGTCCTTCAAATACCCATCCGTCCATCCACTCATTCATCTGCATTTATCATGGACCAAAACTGATGAGGATAAAGTCATCTTTACATTTGTGAAGGGGCAGGGACAGAGAACAAGGAAGTGACTCATGAACCCATTGGCAAATGGCTTTAGACTTCAAAGCATTTTTGAGTATTTATTTTCTAAGAAATTGATTTTATTATGTTGTCCAGCTTGTAAAATGATGTATGGCGGGCCAGGGATTTAGCTCAGTAGAACAAGCACTTCCCTGGCAAGTGTGAGGTCATGAATTTGATCCCCAGTACCAAAAAAAAGTATGGACCTATAATCCTAGGATTTAGGAGGTTGAGGCCAAAGTAAATGAGATCGCATCACAGAAAAGGATAAAATAATATCCTTAAAAACTATTTTCAAAAATAAAATTATTTATGAGCTGGAGGTGTAGCTCAATAGTTGTATGCTTGCCAGGGATATAGCTCAGGGCACAAGCAGCTTCCTGGCAAGCACAAGGTTCTGAGTTTGATCACTGGTACCAAAAAATAAAGTAATACCAATAGTATACTTGCCTACCATGTGTGAGGCCCTGGGTTTAATCCCTAGCACTGAAACAAATAAATAACTACAAAAACAAACAACAACAACAACAACAAAGCCATATTCAGTAAAGCAAATTTTAAAAATTTGTACTTGTTCAAAAACAACAAAAAGGATTGGGGTTACAACTCAGAGGCAGTGCGCTTGCCTGGCATGTGTGAGACCTTGAGTTCAATTCCCAATTCCCAAAAAGATAAATAAATATTCCCTTTACATTGATCATTTTCTTAGCTATCTCTCACTATAAACACCATGCCACTAGTACTTTTCAACAGATTTATTTTTAATTTTCCATTAAGTTACTTGGTAAATCTCTTCAAAGTTGTATTTTTAGAGTTGCCATCAGTCGCTCTGCTATTGTGTGAATGTTTTCTCAACTTTGTATTCTAAAGTTAATAAATTGAACATTTTTGACACTTTTCAGGGAATCTTCACCCAGACCATCATATTCCTCAGTGGGAATTTACCTTCTGAGTAAGTGGGGAGATATCTCCTAAGCTCAGAGAACATTCTGCTGAATAGCGGTTTTTCATACTGCAGTTTATAAATCTTGTTTCTGGACTGTGACACTCTAAAAGAACTCATGACTGGCAAGGATGTGGGGGTGATGGTGAGGACTGGGAGGCAGCCTCTTGTTAGCTGTGTGGCCTTGGGTGAGGTATGCCCCTCTCCTGTGCTTCAGTCCCCTCCTTTGCAAGACAAGGAGGATCACACACACACACACACACACACACACACACACACACACGTCCACCAGTCCTTGGGCATGGCCATGCCCAGCTCTGATGCTCAGTTCATAGATGTTTCTGTTCTTCCCACAGACCAGCCAGGCATCCACTGCTGGTTTCCTCCTCCTTCCTCTCGTATCCCCTGTTTAGTGAGTGGGACCCTGCCTTGGTAGAAGCTGTAGAAAGCTTTTGGCCCTGTGCAATCACCTGCAATAGTTACTATTCCTGTGTGTGGCGTTCACCACGCATCTGGCACTGTTCTGAGCACTTTGGATGGATTAGCTAATTTCTGTCCAGGCTGAGTGTCATTGCTTTCCCCTGTGACAGACCATGGTGCCTCAGGGCTGGAGGCAGGCAGGGTGGGCCCTCACTGCATGAATGCATGCCCTTACCCTGCGGAGCCCAGAGAGACCAAAGGAAGGAAGGGGGAGTCCGTCTTTATCCCCTGATGCCCCCACAGCTGAGTTGAGCTAGCCAGGCTGAGCTGGGACCCTAGAAGGAAGCTCAGCTCCTTCCTTCAGGATTCCGGAAAAGAGCACTGCTGTAGCTGCTGTCCTCACCACGTCCCCAGAAAATCCCCTGGTGCTCCTACTTTTCCAGCTTTGTGAATGCTCCCTTTGTAAATGGACAACAACTACCCCACAGCCTCTGAGCTACAGGTAGGACAAGGCATACATTGTCCTGGGCCTTATCGCTTAACTGCTTCTCATATTTTTACTTTTATTTACTTACTTTTTGAAAAGATTTCATTGGCTACAAAAGGATGGTCAGGGCAGTTTTCCTCCCTATCTTTCTCAAATACCCAGTTCTTCCCACAGTTTGCCTATGGAAATGATTTGTTTTATTTTTGTTACATGTATACAAGATAGAATTTATGACTGACTTTTTTTAGTACTGTATTTGGCTTGTTTATAACCTCCTGTTTTCTTTCTGGCACATGTTTCCTCTGCGTCTCCACAAGGTGTACCACCGACTTTAGGCCTTCAGCCCTCAGGCTCTGCTGACACCAGGAGTCCCCACGCTGTCCCTCCTGGCTCTGCAGTGACCCAGCACATGTCTCTTTGGGATCCCGTCCCCTGGCCTGGCAGCCTTTGTTCCAGACATGAAAAACTGCAGGAACACAAGGAAGCAAAGAGGCCATGATGGCCCCGTGCCCTTGGGTGGTGGGGCTGCTTTCCTGCAGCAGCCTCTGGGGCAGCCCCTGCCAGGCCTGTAGATGAGGGCCCCAGTAAGTCTGCAACCTTCACTCACTCAGGGCTCAATTTGCTGGCCCCTACTCTGAGGGTGAGGCTGCTCAGGACCTGTTTGAGTTTCCATCCATATCCCACTCCATTTTCCCTCTCTAACACTGCCACCACTGTAGGGACCTTCTAGTAAAACTAAATAAATAAAAGAAAGAAAGGAAGAAAGAAGAAAGAACTGTATAAAAAGGAAGAAAATGGTAGCGAAAGCCCTTCTCCCTCAGACTCAAGAGCCCACCCTGGGCAACTTACTGGCTTTAGTGAGACCCTGCATCCAAATGAAAATGTTGTTAAAGTGCTGGGGCTGTAGCTCGGTGGTGGAGCACCCCTGGGTTCAATCCCCAGTACCAAAAAAGCTGTTGGTGCCAGATGAGGCAGGATAAATACAACGAAAAGTGCTTTTGGTAGTAACCAATGGGCATGCTATAATGCTCGTGGCGTCCTGACCAGCTGTGAGGCAGATGGTGTTGTTCTGTTTGGCTGATGAAGCAGGAGGCTCAGGAAGACAGGGATCAGTTGGTCAGTACCAGAGGTGGGACTGGATCTGCCCCCAACTCCAAATCCACACAAATCCACAAACTCCTGGGCTCAGCCAGGCGTTTTCCCAGAGCCCCTAAAACAAGCCCAACTCCGCAGGGTGCTGAGAAGAGAGGATTCATTAACATAAAACAACTGGAGGTGGCCAGGCCCTGGGAGAAACCACCACAGATGGCAGAACCAGGCCGGCAAAACTAGGTCAGCTTACAGGGTGTGTTCGCAGAGGCTGGGCTGAAGGAAACACATGGAAATGGCTGGAGGTCTCGGACCAGCTAGAGAGGCAGGCTGTCTCCAGATCTGGTCCTGTCAAGGAAACACAGAGGACAGAGAGAGTAGCTGCTGGGGAGGGGATACTCTTTGTATGCGGGGCTGGGTCACAGTGCAACCTTCATTTCCTGGAAGTGTGGGGCCCCCCAGAAAGGCCCCTCTAGTCCCTTTGGGAGGGCTGAGAGGTAAGCCTTGATTGCTGGGGGTGCCAAGGAAAGGCGGGAAACCGGGTGCAGCAGGGAAGACTGGATGTGCTGTGCACAGAGGAAGGCCGAGCCCAGCACCTGTGCCGTGGCCTCCTCTCCTGCCCACCCCCAGCTCTGAGGCACTGCTGTGCGGAGGCTTGAGGAAACCACAGCTGGCAGGGCAGAGCTGGAGCACCACTCAGGTGGGAGGAGGCCTCTCCACAGAGAGCTCTCTGGAGGAAATTCCCCTGGTTCCCCGAGGAGGGAAGTCCTCCCGACAAGGCAGGGTGTAGGAAGCCATTTGGGGATCCTGAGTACCTCTCTTGCTGAAGCAGCAAGGGCAGAAATTGCGGGGCTTCACTATCACCCAGGCTGAGCGCCCAAGTGTGCAGCCCCAGCTGAGTGGTCACAGAGGACAGCAGGAGGAGCAGTCC